CCCGCCTTTCACTGAGAAACGAAGCTGCAGGACGGAAAAGCGTGAAAGCATGAAAATCTTAACTTGTACGGTTCTAGAGTTCTTATCGGATAATCAGCCGTACGGATGAGGGCGCAGTGCTCGAGATGGGGTTAATTGGGCACGTACAACGGCGATCGAAAGGGGTTCTATCTAGGGCAGTTGGCATGTTTTTTCTGCTTATTTCTTCATTATCGACTTACTCATAACCTTGCCGTCTATATGAAAATCCCTAATCCACTATCTGGGTGATCGCGGGCATTGCATTTAACGAATGAAGGTATGCAGCGAAGCTAGTATGAGTAGAGAACTGATGATGAGGAATTTTTGATTCTTTTGATTCAATGACCCTGCTGGATGATATCCGGTCTACAGACCCACAGCTCCCTCGTGGGAAGTCTAGAGGAATCACAGGAGTGTGGTGGGCCAAACGGGAATGAAGGAGATCGACTCTCGGAAATCGCGAGTTACAACAGTACAGATTGTGCAGAAAATACTGTCCTCCAAACCATAGTTCATTCAGCGTCCGCATCGCTCACACTTTGTAACCACCTGTTCGTGGCTGGATATAGGTGTTGTACAAGCAAATGTTCGGCATAACACGCTCACGGTCCGGAACCGAGCCCCACCCAGTTCCCGCTCATGTCAAACTAACTCTTTACCCTCCAGGAACTGTACCTTTCTACTGGTTTGTCTCTGAGGATAAAAACCCTGACTTGCACGTCGGCTGGGCCACGTAAGCCATTGCCTGGGTCCCATATGATAGACCACTATGGCTCTGAGTGAATGTGGACTGCGTGCCGTATCCCAGAAAGAGATTTGTAAATAAACGGCGAAAGCTTCACCACTCTGGTACTGATTGTATGCAAAAGTACATCTCGAAGGATATTTCAAAGCAACTCGAATAACCAACATTTTCATCGAATTTCTTCATTTCATGTACAGAAAACTTTTTTTAGAGAAGAAGCTTGCCACGAAAAGGCAAGTCTACTCAGGGGAGAGGCATCCATGCAAACTCCTCTCTGTATAGGGGAAGTCTTACAAACGCTTGGCTAGGCTTTAAAATCATACAGTTCCATTTCGTGGGTACACCAGCAACATTACATGGAAAGATTGCTGAAATCGCTTCAAAGTGTTCGTCGGAGCTCAATGCTATCTCGGTCAATACCGGAAGGATCAGTGAGAGAGTCTTCGTAGCCAGAGCTCGTCATACATTGGAAATCCGGGAAACGCCTCCACAAGGGGTCGTCTGGTAGCTGGTAGAGAGGGACCGTGTTCGTCTTGAGCCGATTCTCCGTTCGTTGATTTTCATGATCCACGTGCGCTATAAATACCCCATCTTCCCCGTCCTAGCCGGGTAGCTGCGCAAGAAAACAATCAGTAATGATAGTTGGCCGGAAGTGTTCTGCTCACAAATTCAGGGCGATCATATGGGAAACTTTATAATAGCGCAGATAGGTTGTGAACGAGGTAAGGGCGCTGAAAAAGTTCTAGGGATTCACGTTAAGAAAATTGAAAGGCGGTTAGGTTTCCCAGGTGTTTAATGATGATATTTCATTGCCATCTCTTGGAAGAAAGTTTTACACGTGTTGCCGAATTGCTGAGTTTAGGATCGAGAAAAGCTAGTTTTCAGCTAGTTTTCAAATTCGTAGCTAATCGGTTTAGTATTCGAGTTGTCAGAAGGGAAAGAGAGAATTCTTCGGGAGTCTTGCGTATTTTTCATTTTTCTGGTCTCTACTATCGTATCAAATCTTTTTTTTTTCAGTGGTTTGGCAACCTTGTGACGCTGAAGTGGTGGGATAATCTGTGGCTGAATGAAGGTTTTGCAACGTTTGTAGAATACATTGGAACTGATGAGATTAGCCACAAGAATTTCAGAATGGTACGGTACTGATGAATTTCAAGCGAATTATCGCCGAAGTCAGAAGATTATTTCAGAAGGACTATTTCCTACTGGATGCAGTTGAGGATGGAATGGATGCTGACGCTGTAGCTTCAAGTCATCCACTTTCCTTCAAAATAGACAAAGCTACAGAAGTTGCCGAAGCCTTCGACTCAATAACATACGCCAAAGGGGCGTCAATTCTCACAATGTTGCAGGCTTTAATTGGCGAAGAAAAGTTCAAAAAAGCTGTGACGGTAAGTCACATTAGCTGAGATCAGTGTGTTATGTACCTATGCTAATGCTGAACCTCAACTGCATTTTCAAATTTAGTGCACAACTAACCTTGACCTATCGAGATGGATACCTAAAACAGTCTATTTGCTCTTAAGTTATGATAGTTCAAATTTATTTGTTAGCATAGGTTTAGTTGATAGCACTTCTCACGACCGCTGACAACGTTCGTATGGGTCGATACTAACAAGGGAGGTCGTTAAGGTCATGGTAAGCTTTTTGGAAACGGTTTGTTGCATGATGTAAGGGGCCATGCATGACCACACAGATGGGTTTCATTTTTGTCAACCGTTATTGGGAATGTGAAAAATCAATGGAAATAATTCGATAAGAAAGTGCGATTTGGACTATCTTATTCGGCTCCATTGTAGCTGTAGCGTTAAGAATGGGAAGCTTACGAGGTCTTCCCAAAATAGGCATAAAAAACAAGGCATAATAACGCTAAAATCAAAGTAGTACATTTGACATGTGGCGAGCCACACCGAAGCTTCTTCGTAATCCCCGCATCTTTTTCAATGGCTCCCGCAGCCAGTCATAGTGGACGGATGTTGTGGTGGATAGCGCGACGGACTCTCGACCCAAGGTATTTCATGCATAAGCAAATGGCCTCGGCACCAAAAATTAGTGTCAGAATCGGGGTCACCAGTTACTCCTGTATACGAGGTTTTATATGAGGTTTTAAAGACACATGGTACGCTCAAACACATTGAGGGTGTATGAGACTATCAGCCCCCCAGCTGTCGATGTGTCGTGGTCCCCCCCCCAAACTATAGAAATACTTCAAACTAACGAGCCGTTTTTTTGTGCATGTTTTGTCGGAATGAGCGGCTCTTCCGAGGGATATTGCAAGAAGCACCACATAAAGAAATTGCGTTGTACTTGTATTCCAAAGCGCAATTACAGGACTTGGCAAAAAGCCAAGAGAGCTGCACGCGACACGCGCCGCGCGGACGGTGTTAGTAAAAACGTGAGTTTGCGAAATGGGCGGTGTAGCAAGGAATTACGACTTTCCCACGGCCCCGTACTCTGACCCCGTGCAGTTTTGGGCGGGGGGACCACGACACATCGACAGCTGGGGGGCTGATAGTCTCATACACCCTCAATGTGTTTGAGCGTACCATGTGTCTTTAAGTTATGATGACTAAACATCTGCTCTAGTGGCCATCATTGCCCTCTAGAAATCGTTATCCAGCCACGTCACCTGGAACTTTCCCTTTCCCTTTACTAGTACACAAACTCATAATCAACACCAAAAAATTCAAAAAGGAAGTACACCTACATACTGCACAGCATTTATACCTGAAAAATCAAAGAAAAACAAGTTTACTTCATCCCGGCAGGAGGTAACGAGGTCTTTGATAACAGCCTAGACGGTAAAGGTGAAAAGGATTGAAGATGCTCGTTTAGGTGCTCTGGAGCTAACATGTCATCTTCTAGAAACGTACTGAATATTTAAATTGAAACTCGTGACGGTTGGCCTCTGAAGTACACGGCTAGATGATGAGCTAGATGATGAGACGGCTAGATGATGAGATGTGAGAGTTGGGGTGTCGCTGCCATCCATATCGTCGATCCATCCGCGAATTTTTTCCGCTAGAACTTCGTATACTGAGGTAGTTGATAACACACATCCCGATTCTGACACTTGTTTTCGGCGCCGAAGCCACTTGAGGGCAGCATGGCCACCGTGCGGGAAGGGAGGCTGCGGGAATCACTGAAGAAAATTCATTGTAGCTCACCACATGCCATACCATGGATTTTGACCTTATTTTACGTTGTTTTTCATGCCTAATTAAAGAACACCTTATGACTGTATACCCACAAGGCTAAAGCTCGAATGGAGCCGACTAAGGTGTCAAAAATCGTCCGTCGAGTTCTTTTAAACCCCAATTGTGTGGTCCGAATCGTGCAACACACCGTCTGCAAAAAGCTCACCATGACCTGGACGACCTCCTCTGTACGATTATGAAGCTTCGCCAACGCTAATCTCCTTGCTACAGGAGCAAAAAAAAACTCGGAGCAAGTCAGACTTGCCCTTTTTCTTATACTTTAGACAGATTTCCTTGAAGGCAAAGGGCACGATAAATCCTGCGGGCGTTTTAGGTAAACACGCCTGTAATCACTTGTAATTTCCGCTCCTAGGGAAGTTCTGCATTGTTTCGTTTCCAACAGGAAGCGGTCTCTGAGCATTCTAGCAAGGCCTAACACGGCAATTAAGTTTCAACCCCATCACCCATGACACGCCCACAAGTGGCCGCACCGATCGTGCAGCGGCTGTACCACTTCTTTTCTGCATATGCTCCGCAAACGGGATGCGTTGAACAACCAAAGGACGAGTTTCGGGTTCTGCTCGAGGAGAAGACAGGAAAGGACGTCATAACTGTCGCTGGTGACCTTAACGGGCACGTGGGCGCAACGAAAGACGGTTACAGCTGTCATGGTGGTTTCGGTTATGGGACACGTAACGCCGATGGCGAACGCATCTTGGAATATGCAGAAGCCCATAATCTCGCCATCGTGAACACAAAATTCCGTAACGTGATCCCATCTGCAGCGGAGGCGCCAGAATACAAATAGACTTTG